ATCGCAAGCTTTGCAATTAACAGTAGTGCACAGCTTGCAATATTTAGTAACAGAATCTAAATACATTCCATCTGCACATGTAGAACATGAAGTTCCGTTAATACATGTTAGACATGATTTATTACACAGTTAGCATGTTTTCGTATCATCCGGATATTCATTTGACAAACATAATTTTGTGCAAGTATGATTAGTTTATAAATAATAAGGGTCATTACAAGTAAGGCAATTAGATTTTGAAAATAAACATGTTTTGCATTTAGGATCACATAATTAATCGCATAATTTATTCTCTTCATTTTTAAAAAAACCGGAAGGGCAAGTACTACAAGAAGCCCCATTTTAACATGTAGCACATGATTTGTTGCATGCTTAACATTTGTTAGAAGTATTAATATAATAGCCTGGATAACATTCTTTAACGCATTTTTTTTCCAGTTATTGCAAATATAAAGGTAATGAGCAAGACAGACAATTAGTTTTATCAGTACCATCTTCACAAGTAGCGCATGAATTATCGCATTCTTCACATAACTAAGTACTAGTATTTAAAAATTTGCCATATGCACAAGATTTACAAGAAATCGCATTTCTACATCCTCTGCATGTACTATTGCAATCTTTACATTTAGGATTCAAAAACCTAGACTCTATATATTAATTAGAATCACAAAGTTCTACACATGTATTATTTTTAGTTTATAAAACTTAAAAATTATTGCACGAAGTACATATTTCTGGAGACAAATTTTCATGAGTTTTACAATTAACAATACATTTACCCAAACTATTTCTATGATAATCTTTATCACATGTAATGCAAGATGTTCCATCATTAGTACAAGATATACATCCTTTTATAGCTTTCATACATTGAGTGCATATTCTATCGCTATTATTTAGCTTAAATGTCCCTTCAGGACAAGCTACACATTTATCACCTTCAAAAATTTCATTAATTTTACATTAAATACATTTTAAACTACTATTTATATACTCAGTATCTCTACAAAGTATGTTTTCAACACTTTACATATAGAGATATTAATCATTATGATTTTCATCATCCACTATTAAAACTTCTCCTTTTTTAAATTAATATCTTTTTCTATGGTCATTTATAGGAAGTGTATAATATTTATTTTTTTAATCTGCTCTTTAGATCACTCGAACTCTATTTAAAGCTGAATCATAAGATATATCATACACAATATTTCCAAAAATAATAATTGATTCATAAGTCAAAATATCATAGTATTTTCCAAATTAAATTGGTGAACTATCATTTGTCAATTTTACTTGTTCAAAAGTAACCAAATCGTAAAATTACCAAGCTCCATTATTTCCCAAGCAAATAATTTTTTTCCCAATTCCAAAATCCAAAATATCAGAAAATTAAAATTCCGATGAGTTGAGAAATATTTTCTAATTCAAAGTAACAGTATTTCCAGAATAGATAAATTAAGACAAGCTTATTTATTTCTTTGATTTCATAACAAGGCCAATATTATCATCAATTTCTATAATGCACTTATATTTAGGAAATTCTGACATATTGTATTATTTTCCTTTATAAATCATAATCCCAAGGCGTCCATCAATACTATGAAAAACAATAATTTTATTTGTAAAACAATATCCTGATATTTCATTTACATCATGTTATGGAATTTGGGCTTATTCACAATTATCATCAAAAAAATAATTTTTATAAAATGCGTAATATTGATTATTAAATATTATTTTTTAACTTTTCACAACATTAATTGGAACTGAATCTTTAGTATATTTATTTGATAAAGAAAATTATTATGGATTAGGTACTTTGTATACACTACTGTTAAACATTGAATTAATTTATATAACATCTATTACTTAGTAATTATGATGTATAGTATTTACTAAAAATAATTTTAGACTACTCTATTATAGTTCAATAAAATAGGTACTTTCGAATATTGCATCGGTAATTCCTTCTAGTTTTATATACTTTATTAAAAAACCTTAAAAATCTAAATAAAGTAAATAGTAATAATTTTCTTAATTTTCCAATATTGGTCTTATTATTACAGCAGATAATTCTTCGATTTCAATCCAATATTTATAAATTTTAAGCGGATATATTAATGAACTATCATTTTTAATTATAATCAATTATAAAAATAATAATAAAACTAACTTTTTATTAACCATTTTATTTTAATTTTTTATTTTATTTTTATATAAATTTGAATATTATTAATTATAAAAAATTATATAATATAATATAGTTTTATTTTATTATTTTATTAGAAAAGAATTTATTTATTAATATTTATTTCCACAAATTATTATGTAAAAATTATTTAAATAATACATTAATTATTTAATTTTATAGGTTTTTATATTTTGTCTCATTTATTATTATAGTAAATTTAGATATGAACAATGGTAAATTCAAAAAATGAAAAACTGTAAAAATTATAAATAATAAATTCTTTATGAATTATTAATATTAGAAAAAAAATATTTTATTTTTAAACATAAAATTATTGTATAAAAAAAACTAATTTAATAAAATAAATTATAAATTAAAAGGATTGATAATATTAATTTTAATAAATAAATTTTATTATATATTTTTATTTAATAGGAAATAAATCTTAAAATATTAAAAATAATAAATTTTATAGGTTAAGTAAAAACGTATTATTATGAATCAAAACTATCTTTAATATTACATAAATATATATTAGAATTTATTAAAAAAAA